ATTTAGCAAACATAAAAATGATATTTGTATGTTAAAGCTATATAGTTTGTATAATTGTATTTCATAGCAAACGTTTGATTTGGAACATCAAATTATATAAATCGCTAGGGACATCAAATGCAGCCTCTTGTTTGTATAAATCTCTGGCAACCTCGCAATTCTATTTTATATATTTGTATATCCTCTCAATTCTATTTTATATGTTTGTATATCTACATAAATTCTGAACCTGTATACAATTGAATCGAAACAAAAGGTTTGTATATCAAATCTCTCTCTCGCTTTATACAAACACAAAATATACATTGCATTTTGTATAATTTGTGTTTGTATAAAGATAGAAAGAGAGAAAGAAAAAAGAGAAATGGGAAGGGAAAGATTTGTATTGTATAATTATAAGTGTATAGGACGAAGATATATGTATTTCCTTGTGTATATACAATTTTCTCTCACTTTATGTAAACTGAAATATAGTTTATACATTTGAGTTTGTATAAAGTGAGAGAGGCAAGGGAGAGACTGGCCAAGGGAGAATGACGATCGGGAATTTCAGGGGAGAGGCAAATGTCAACAGTTTTCTACGGATTAAAATTGAATCAAACTGTGGTTATAACATTTAATTTGAATTAACAATTTGCTATTATACATAATTTCCCTAATATATAGCCCTAAAAATTTAGTATACATTAACGTTGATATATGGTTATATAGTACAATTTTGTTTCGATAAAAATGTACATAATATGTGTATGTAAAGTCTATATGTACAGATAAATATATATATAGTCTGTATATATATTATTTGAAAAATGAATATGAAGTGTATATGTAAAATCTACTCAAAAAAAATATATATATACTAGACGGGCATAGCTCGTGCTGAGCACGGACCCAACATTTATTTTACATTTTTAAAGTAGTACATGCTTGACGATACACAACAGTGTCATTGACTATATTGATATAAAAGTGTGTTGCTTAGTTTACACAAGAGAACACCTTTGTAAACAATATATACATCCTTAAATTAATTAAAACAAAATAACACCATGAATACCTAAAAATGGCTCATCTAATCATCAGATCTTAAACTCATTCTAATATTTCAGTAATAATAGCTATCAACTTTTCGTTTGTGATGTCTATCGAAAATAACTTTCTATTTTTTAAGACATATTACATTATATTTTTTACACAGTCATTTATCAAATTATAATACCCTTGTCAAAACAAATTTCTTCCTTAAAGTAGATATAATGTTGTAAACTCAAAAGTATATGATATTAGTGCAATAATTTTATATCATAACTTTAATGGGAGTTTTATTTAGGCACATCACTTAAGAATGTTTTTTTTTTCTTTTTTAGGGAAGACTTTAATATACAAAAATATTGCTATAAATATTCATAATATCATATTATCAATTATTTATGTTTTATTACTATTTCTAACAACCCTTTTTTTTTTAATTAAAAAAATAAAAATTAGTGAATATAAGATTAGAATTAAGGAATTGGTCTATTCTTTAATTAATTGGAACAAGTATCTTGACCACAACCTACACCAAACAATAATCACAAGATTATGATCATTGACCTTGACCTAATGACATGATTTTTTCCTGATTAACAATTTAAGACTAATTAATCTATTATATTATGCCTCTCTTTGACGTGTTAGGTAATTCAATTTTATTTAATTACCCAACAAAGACCTTTTTATACTTTAATTAGTCTAATGAAAATTAATACCTTCATATTAAATGTTAGTCCCCTGGTGATTTTTCATTTTTTAATGATCAGGCAACACAAAATTGCTATTTTTTAGATACGTAAAGATAAATTTTACTTCAATGTAATAACTCGTAACTTATATGGAAGAAGTAAAACACATAAAGCAATATTGTAATAATTAAAAGAAATATTAGTTAACTCGTTAAATAATAAGTCTAATATACAATTATCAATTAATGGAGGGTAATATAAGTCAAAGTTAAATAGTAAGTGTCACATATATTCTAAATTAATTAAAAAGAAGAATTTTCTTTTGAATTGATTAGGGCCGGGCATAAACACTGAAAAATCAAAATATCGTATCGAACTGAATTTTTTTGATATTTCGATTTTGTTTTTTTTGGTTTTCGGTTCGATATCCGGTATATGTTTTTGTATTTTTTGGTATTTCGATTTGGTTTTCGGTATATAATTTTGTGTTATTTGATATTTCAATTTATCAAAATATATTATTGTAACGACCCGTTTAGTC